TTTTTAACATTACATCCGAATGATTAGTTGATCTGCCGGTAACCCCATTATACTCTGTGCAGATTTGCCAAGTCTTTTCAAAATCAACACAAATTGACCATACTGTAGCTGATAAAACTCTACCTGCAAACTTACTTGAGTTGGTGTTTGCTGCCTTGAACTTGGGAACTCGACTTTGTTACTGACACTCGGTATTTGCACCTATTTTTCACCACTTTGCTTTGAATAGAAAACGAATGTAGACAAAGACAAACTTGCCTCAGCACCATGTCAGGCAGTCCCCTTAACTAGTTTCCTGCGCTGCTGCCTCATCTATCGCGTTGGTGGAGCTTCGACGTGAAATCTTTCTGTTGAAAGTAAACATGATGTCCGGGCCCGACGAACACCCGCCACTTTTACCGAGGAGCATGTTCCGTGACTAACGAGCGCCATCTGAGGCACCGTAGCATCGCTCCCAACCTGGCAATTATCAACTGTCACATCTTCCTAATGGTGTCCTAAATGCTTATGCGAAAATCGAAGTATTCACTTTATTGTTGTTATCTCTAGACTGTTCACACACACACATACACACCGAGGTGATTTACTAGCTGTCGTGGTAGTCGAATCAATGATACACGACGTTAACACACGGTCGCGCATCGTTAAGCAACCCACAGTGGGGTCACTTTTAACTTGAAGACCGGTTTGCTTCACTTGACCGTGCCAAATTCTGGTGCTGATGTCCATTATTAGAAGGCGAGCGAGAGAATTCCGTCTCGTCAGATTATCACTACCGCGTATCCTGTGATTGGTCAAGGGTATACATAAGTTGTATCTTTAAATCCCCAATGTACTTGGGATTCAATATCCTTTCCCTCTACACCGTTTCGTCATTAACATTGAGGTCGAAAGGATAAGGCTTGACTCTGCTCTCCCATCCTATTCTTAAGTGGACGTACTTCCAAATGGCTTATTGACAGGTTTATATCGTGCGGATGACATTACACTCCTTCGGTCGGATCAAGCCATTGTACGCGTGTTTCCTGATAGCTCAATACAGAGCGCCGCACGCTTTGGCTTCTTTCACTTTCAAAACACTGGGGCTGTCGTAGGACTGTTTTAGTTATCATCGAACAACCACACAAATTGATCGATCGGTTCACTTATCTACATAGTTCCATCACTCCTGCTGCACGATTCACTGTGGGGGTGGCATTGCGAGTCAGCGAAATCCGTGTGATTTTTCAATCGCAGCCATCCATGCAGACGGTGGAATATCAGACAGTTAATAAAAGTCCGGATGCACGATTGCACTGTGGTCGGTGCTGCTGCGTGATCCGGAGACATGGCCAATATACCCTGGAAACCTCAAGAGACTGATTACCTTTGATCATCGACGATTGGAAGGAGACCGCTTGATGCCGCATTTGAGTGTCTGCTGATACCACACCGCTTGTACGTTTACTGGGTTATTTCCTTCGTATGCCCGTCGACCGTTTACTTCGTCATGCATTGTTTGATGTTTCTTCACTTGCTTGATCGATGCCGTAGAGTGGCTAATGAATGATGTATCCGAGCGTTATGCGGAAATCGGCCGATACAACTGGTTAGGCTGGTATCCTTCGTCTCCTATGTGCAGGGCACGTTTGCGTTCGTATGCCACATTCAACATGGATCAGTTGCGAAGCAAACAGCGCTCGTGCATTTTGTATTACATCTGACTCTTAACACTACAATCGGATTAATTTTACTCCCATCCTGCTGATCATCTTTTTGTACCATACTGCCGGTGCTTTTTATTGATATCGTATCGACTGCAACCATTGTTACTGAATCCACCGCGGTTCGACACTCTGGTAATGTTCTGACGGAAGTAACATTGGCGGTCTCATCTACGTAGACGGTAGAGTTAGAAGGAAGCTGAATTTTGTGTTGAGACCACCTTGTCTAGCTTTTGAAGTGTGACCGTAATTGTTGCTACCTGCATTTCCTATCAAAGTTTCTCCTTTTGCATAAGATTACATTCAGCTGCAAAATCGATCTTATTGTTTATTTTCTCAATTCAGTCCACCGTCGCTCTTTTCCTCTCTCCATCTAATAGGGTTTACCATTCCAGCACGGTGACATCCTTTTCGTTGTCAATGCAACTGATTCCGAATGGTGGCAAGCGCGTCGTCTCACTGTGTGTGATAACGGCATGTACGGTAATCACGTCGGATCCGCTCTTTCAGACATTGCTACCTACACGAGCAGTCTCACAGTACATAGTCCATTGGGTATTATTCCGAGCCGTCACCGAATTGAACGTCGTCAACGTGCACGTTCCCGGCGTGTGAACTTCTTCGGCAAAGTGACGGTGATTGGTTCTAACGCACAACTCCCACCCCTTCCTTCGTCAAACAGTTCGTCTACCCATGCACCGAGAGCACTCACAAACCGACTACGCACCGACTCTGATTCATTTCCCACGCCGTCTTCCCTCCAGATGAATGGTGATGACAAAGAATCGCACTCGGATGAAATCTCCCCTGGCCTGGATCAGTCTGGTCAGCGTGGTTAGTGTTCAGCAATATTTTTCCCTAATCTAGCCAAGACTCATCTCAGCTGCGTATCTGTGGTTGATCTCGAATGCATACCTAGACTTCTCATCGAATGTCATGCTTGTTCTTTTGTGATCAAATACAACCCCTCATTGCACAGTTCCTCCTGTCCCCGCCTCCTACACACCCGAGTTTACTGTTATAATCATCACACTTGATGCGATTCCCAAAAATGCCCCTAATTGCTCTATAAGACATCTAGCCCAACCGAGGGAAAAATCAAAGCGCACTTGACCTTGACAACATAACGCGCTTACCGCCGCCAAAAACACTATACAAATGAAAAAGACCTTGTTCGTATTTATGGGTCACTTAATGACCGACCTCCAGGATAAGGTCAACTGGCAAAATGAGCAGTACCATACCGATCCATCCAGTCTTCAGGAGGTTGGCAATCAGAATGTTGGCATTTCAGAATGTTATAAATCGATGCGCTGATCAGTGACAACCGATTACTCGCTGTAACAGTAGCTTTTACCGTACGGCTCCCCTCCTGGGACCGCATCTTCTGTGTATGATGAAAGCCTGAGATTAACCCGCAACCTTCTGGACGGGGTTCTGTGTCTGTCTGTCCATCGTCTCGGCTGAAGTGCTCACAAAGCGAGTTCTGGGTTACTTGCTTAACTTACAGCATTCATTCACGGGCTTCTTTGGCAAGTTGAAGCTTTCCACCAACAAGTCGAACGGGAGATCGGCAGTCTTTGCTTCTTCTGGTTGGTACAGCGTTGATCGTAGCTGGTTTGCATGACGAGCCCAGACCTGCGTTCCTACAATCACGTCATAATATTCCCGCGCTTCTTTTTAACCGTACCGAGCGTCCACTTTGCGTGGCATTTTCGATAGTCATGTACTAGCACTACCTTTCTCGGCATGAACGATCGTTGCTTTGCTTCATACCACCGGTTAAAACCCTGTTCCATTCTGCGGTCCCTTACACTAACAGAGGGCTTTGAGCGCGGTCGAATGGTATCGAAGAGTATACGGAGCTTTCTGTTCATCATAGCCTGTGCTGGTGAAACTCCATCCGGCGCTTGTGGATTCGGTGTTGGTCGGTAAAGGAGGAGGAACCGGTCGTTCACCTCTATACCTCCTTTCTTTTTTGATCTGACCAGAGCTCGCTTGAATGTATCCACGAACCTCTGGGTGAAATGGCGGTGAGCGAATGTTCTGGCCTGCGCATTGCTTGCAGAACTTCGTGAAACTTGCCGTAGTGAATTGCATGCTGTTGTCTGTTAAAATTGTCTCTGGACAGCCTAATCTGCTGATGATTTGGCAGTCTTGATACGGTAATATTGGTTGCTATGCTATCCATGAGAAACACTACCGGCCATTTGCTGTATGAGTCGACTGTGATGAGGAGACTACGGCCGTTGATCGGTCATGCGAAGTCACTGACGACCAAACTGGGTGCTATTGATCCGTCTCGCCTACCCGGCTGGAGTCCACATGACTCGCCTTGTGCTTGGCTGGAGACTTTACAGGACATGAATTGCAACCGACACCAGTGGCGCGTCTGCTGCCGTCTCCTAACCTGATTGCCTGATTAAAGTGTGTTTGGTGCTGAATTATCTGCGAGGTATTGGCTGATTATAACGCGGGGCAGTGGAAGCCGCAAGGAAGCTGTTTCGCCTATGCCGCCTTATGTTTGCACGATAGCCAGCTGTTTGTACAGTAGGTTGTCTACACAAGGTGTAGGCGCCTTGAGCCGAAATGTTTGCTTAGGGCATTAAGGTTTTCAGGTAAGTCCCCCTGCTCTCCCTCTTATTCTTTATTTCATAGGTCCTCATGGTTGTATGGCAGCGAAGCATCAGTTCAAATGGCTGGTGAACTGCTGTTGATGATGACGATGATGATGATGGTCATGCGAAGTCGGCATGGATACAGAACCATAGTTTCCTGGCTTTGACCATGAATAGAGCTCCGCTTTTCGTGCCTCTCTTAAGACGTTGGCACATTTTTGGCGGCCTTTAGCCAGTTCTTCCAGCTGTTTGTCCATGAAAGGCCAGTACGCATAGCTGCTGATCCCAGGATACCCGGCATCGAATTGCCAAAGTACTTTCGTTAGGACTTGAGGATGACAACTCTTTCCGAGAATAGTATGCTATCATCCACATTGGAGCATAAATGTATCCTTTGATAGTACTTCTGAAATTTGACTCCTGAGCATGAACATGGCCTATTGGTTCTGTGAAACTGTGTGACTTTTTTGAGTATTGGGTCCCGATGCGCTTCTGTTCGTACGGATTCTGCGGTGGCTGGTGGGTCGTGCAATGTCCCTCACCAGGAACTTAACGTTTGGTCCGATCTCGACGGAGACAATGACTGTGCCCTCATGTTCTTGATGATCAGTATCAATTGGGCCTGGCAGTACATTCGCTTAGCAAATAGAACTTGACTAAAGTGAGAGCCCGTCGTTGTAGCCGATTGGCTATGTAGGCCCGGATACCCTTTTTCGGACCAAAAATAGCCAGCAAAGGGCTTTTGATATGTCAAAAACTGGAAGCGACGACCGTACAGCATCTTGTGGAATTTCTTCACAGCAAACAGTTTGGTCAGTACTTCTTTCTCCATCTGGCTGTAGTTTCTTTCGGCCTTTGCCGGCATCCTGGTGGCATGAACCATGGCTTTCTGAGATCCATCTGAGTACATGTGCGAGACCACTGCATCGGTTCCAAGACTTGCTGCATCTCTAGCGCGGACATTTTCTCAGGAGAGATCAAAATGAGTCAAAAGCAGGTTTGAAACCAGCATTGATTTAACCCGTTCACATGCATTTTGACACTCTGACGTCCACTTCCATGCTTGGCTTTTGGTTACTAGCTCGTTTTGCGGGGCACACAGGATGCACTTCAGGCAAGGATGCGCTGTAGTGATTGATGAGCATATAAAAAGAACGCAAGAATTGGTCTGGTGGCTTCTATGTTCGCTGGTTCACGTCGATGTCCAAGGATAAAATCGCGGTATTATTTGATGGCCGGTGTGAAAAATCTGCAGTTTTCTTCACGGATCCGGTAACCATACGACTGGTTACAACCAACCTGTTACGCAGCTTTTCCGGTGTCCGGCCCCTCACAACGATATCATCCAGATACGTGGCAGTTACAGAAAATCCCGCAAGCATGGTACCCATCAATTGTTGAGAAATTGCTGTTTCCATTTTCACACTAAAGGGCAAGCGGTTGCACTGGAACAGCCCACAATGAGTGCTGATCATAAGCAACTCTCTCGAGTCTTCGGCAACATTCATCTGGAAGTATGCCCTTATCGAACAGAGTCGACCCACACCACCCCATACTGTAAAAAAACCAGAACTACTAACCCAAGCAAACCATTCAAGAGCGCTCCGAACAAATCTATGGGGCGAATGGCATTTTGAAGGCTTTGGCCAATCAAATGTCATATTTGCACTAAGTGTCGCAAGTGGGGCCATAACAAAGAATTCTGAAGCCAGTCTCGGTCGAAGAACATGAAGCAGTGTTAGCAAATGAAGAACTTTATCAAAGATGACGCAAAATCCCTATCGGTAGTCGCCACATTTCAAAATGAGTCCGAACCGCGACGACGATACATCATTGTACCGATCAATGGTATCTCAACGAAGCCGCAGTTCGACACGACACATTACGATACTTTCCAGGGAAAATTGAAATCACCTAAAGAGACCGTAATGATCAAATCTCACAAAATTGCCCGCAACGCATCCAGTTGTATGCTAAGTTTGGTCGGCGGACTTACAAAATTGCATTCGAAGACTTGGAAGCGACAGGAAGGTGTTACGTCTCAGATCGGTCGAATGAGAATCTTCTTGCTCTTGATTGGATTGAAGGGTTACCACTCCCTAATGTTCCGTTGAATCATATGTGTAGTCGAGTCCGATCAGATCCAGATACATCAAGGAAGTCCGTTGAAGACACGACGCGGTCACTGAAGCAGAAATTCGCCTCTGTGTTTCTAGATGGCCTAGGTCATTATGCAAAGTTCCAGACAACGATATGTCTGCGCCCAGGTATCAAGCCAGTGTTCAAGATTAGAAGACCGGTACCATATACAGCCATGCCAACTGTTTAGCAAAAACTCGATGGACCAGAACGAGCCGGCGTCATCACACTTGTCAGCTACTCCTCGTGAGTCTCACCCATTGTCGCAGTGAAGATGTCAAAAGGCAAGCTACGCGTCTGTGCTGATTTCTCAGCTGGTCTTAACGTTGCTCTTGACGGCCACTAGTATCCATTACCCACACCGGAAGATATCTTTGCGAAATTGAATGGTGGTAAGTGCTTTACCAAACTTGATCTGTCCGATCCCACCTTCGTTGCGACTTGTTATAATCTTCCCACTTGTTGCGATTCCGGAATATACCCTTAATTGCCCCACAAAATCTGTATCCGAACCGAGGATAAAATCAGAACAAAATTGCCATTGACAAAACAACGCGCTAACCGCCGCCAAAAACGCTATAAATGAAGCAGACTTTGCTTGTATTTCTAGGTTACTTAGCGACTTTCGACTTCTAGTATAAGCTCAACTGGCAACTTAACAGTACTATATCGATCCATCCAATCTTCAGGAGGGTGGCAGTCACGTGCGAGTCTGGGAACATTTCAGAATGCTTTAAATCGATGCGCCGATCGGTAGCAATCGATTACTCGCTGTAACAATAGCTTTTCCGAGAAATTCTTACCTTACCACGGACATTTACCATCGTGATGTATCGATGCGCTTGTGTTGAGCTCCTCGTGTCTACTCATTTGAATATTCATTTCTCCCGTTCTGAGCAAAGGATCTTGGTTGAAAAGTCAATGTAGGACTTCTAATTACGTGTGGAGGTTAGGTGCCATACACTGCTCTGATGCAAACCATATTTTAGTATTTGTTTATACTACCTCTTTGTTACCGAGTACTTCCATGGACTTGTTTTTTTTTGCATTTCGCATTGATGGGCATCGAACATGGCTGTGAGTTATGTTCTAACTAACTCTACCCGTCTGTATCTGGCCAATAGACTTACCGACTGCCCCCGACAGGGTAGTGCACTCCAGCAGGCCTCGATATAATAAGCACACCTTCTTCGAGGACGTCTGCTTACCCAAGTGTATTGGTGTGATCGGTCCTTCTCCCACAATTAAATCAGGTATCCGCTAACGAACTTTTCTATATGAACATTCAGTATGAAATTGGCGGCCGTCAGAATTTTGTATCTCCGGACTGCCAGCTGTTCATAACGTACACATTTATGCTCACTTCTATCGCAGAATTAAGCTAAACCATCTATTGTCTTTGTGCTATCGTTTCTCTGCAGCACCAGTAGCATCCTTTGCTTTATACACTACTCGCATTCCACTGTCGTCATGAAGCCATCGTGCCGCATAACTTGTTACGCAGCAAACCTACATCCAGTGTTGACGGGATTTTGGATAAACACCGATCCACATGAGCACTAGGGTCTGTTACATCAGATCACCTGGCCAGCGTCTCAGACACTTTTTACCACAATAAGTTCGATACACATAATCACCACCAATCACACATCGTTCCCAGTAAATAGGAGTCAAACCTTGAAGTCCTTGATGGTAGGACCGTGTGCACCTCTTTTACAGGGCAAAAGGCATCAGCAATGCGCCGGTACGCAGTACGGACGCTTCGTTGACACACAACCACCACCGGTCGCATGTGGGCTAAGGATACTGCGAGGATCCTCCGATCCCCTACGCAGGTTTGAACCTGCGGTTTCGAATTACAAGTCAGGTTTATGATCCTTAAATCTACGGACCGGCCGGGAAGTATTTTTCACCTCTATTCTACAGAGTCCTGCTGACCACTGTCTTCTTCATCTTTGAAGGGATAGCTGTGTCAGTTTAGCTCTTTGTTGTGTTTGTGCTTCAGCTTTTGTAGGGTTTACGCCAGCTTAGATAAGGAGAGACATTTGCCATCGTCACTACTTTTCTACGCTTTTCTGCCTAGATGACCTGAGAAAACCTGCTTGGTAATCCTTATTCACAGGAACAGTTTTTTCTCACTGCACTAATATGAAACGCACACTGATTCGCTTCGATTTGGCGCTTCTTGAGATGGAAGAGCAATTATACACCTGCTACGAATGGACCACTTTGTTCTGTTTCGACTGACCAAAACGGTCTTGATTCACCTTCGTAAGCAGTTCACGCCAAACTTCCAACAGCACACGGCTCTCTAACCATTTGGTCGCGTTCCGAGTGGTACCTATCAAAGCACATCCGACTTATTTGTTGGATCGCAACACGCAGTCTTTTTGGTACCACGGTTTACTTAAAGCTGAACTACAGTCATTCCGATCATTGGGACCGCATCCGAAGTGGGGAGCTTTTGGTGCCGCTCGTTCCCGACACTAACTTGATATTGGTGCGGAATACTGGAGACGGGCAACATTGATAACTCTCCGCATATCCGGACTCATTTACCATGTTGATTGGTCTGCTCAGTGCACCTCCCCACCTATACGCGTCAATCAGTCTACCTGCTTTTGTTCACTAGCTGTTCGTTACCGCATTATTTTAGCCCCAGTGTTTCTCGTGACACATGCTTGCGCACACGCATTAGTCTCGATGTAAACATTTCTTCCATCGTTCCACTTCTGTAACTCTCTATCCTTCTTCTTGGCCTGCTCTGTGTTGATGACGAGTAATCCGTTTTGCATTATTTATTCCACTTTTCCAGTCCCGCATGATATACAAAAGAAGCATCGGTCGAGCAGTGTTACTCAAAGTTTACTCAAACGTTTCTCCACTCGAGGTCACAAAAAAGATGACTTTTCGTTCCCGTGTCTACAGAACCCTATTTGTTCTCTTTCCGAGAGTACGTTCTCCTGTTTGTGTTGTTGGCATGATGCACACGTCGCATTGATAGCTCAACATATGTGCATACACACGTTTTTACCCATTTCATGTTGCCTATGAGGTGAAGATTTGCTTCCTCCGTCGGAAATCTTCAAGGACTTCCTCTATTGGTGCACCATTACCTATTACTTAGTGATACACCACTTAGTGATACACCACTTTCTAAACTCTTGACCACACTCCATGTTGATCGCATCTGTAAGCACTGCACTAATGCTTCTAACGACGGTGTTTTTCCTCCAGATTTCCTTAGGTCTAGAACATAACGTTATCGCGCTAGTCGGACGACATCCATCTGACATTGTCACAGCGTCGAACATAGACCAATTCTCGTACTTCACAACATCCAGTATATTTTGGTTTTTGAAAATTGGCTCCTTGCGCTGGCACTAATCTCGATGCATTGGCGAGACTAACCATGGAGTTAGTGTTATGTACTTAGGCAACCATTCGACGTTTCCTGCTCCTACCATATTTGCACAATTCCCCCACCTGGTTGTTTATGTTTTATATTTGCATTCACTTGCTTCTGATCCATCAGCACTAACTCCACGGTGTAGCGAATCTTACTCCCTCCGTTGCTTGTTTCAGCTGACCCCGAGGCGATTCGTAGCTATGAGACCGTGGTCCCAGTCTCCATTCACATGGCACGTCCGCTTCTTATATTCGGACCTATGAAGGAACCTGTGATGGACTCCCTGCTGCAAGATCTCAAGTTTGCCACCTGTGTCCCTCGTAAGTGGCGCTTTTTGTTCGTGTCACTTCTATCGACTGTTATTTACAACGAAACTTACATTTCCACTCGACCAAATCTCATACTTTCTGTTGCATACTCTATGATGACTGCGCTATCACTTTTATGAACAGGAGTCGAGGTGAACTATGTGCCCTCCACATTGATCTATACTTTGCATATGGTTAGGGTGGAAATGGGGGAGTTTACAAACAGGCAGTGTCTTGCTTTCATCGTGTTTCGTAGATGTACTTATCTCAGCAAAAGGATTCCAGATTCAGTTACATCACTGAACTGACAGTAATTGTAGCAGTTACTGGGGACAGCCTACTTTAACGGTTAACAAGTGACACTGAAACTTGACAATCGTGTAAGTGTGCTCTCAATGTCATCAGTTGGCTAAGGCACATCAGTTCTTTTAAAACTACACCCCAATTAACCATTTAACAACCATTATAAATCGGATACCAGGTGTCGAAAGTGAATAGGTGTAACACAAGCGATGTTGGTTTAGTGTGGGACTACGTGTTGAAATGGAAGCTAGGTGTGGTTTTCAGTCTTTCACTTTACTTTACCCTTTCTTTTATACCATCAAATATCTTACTTTTCGATACCGTGCATTCCAACTTTATCTTTTTGTCAGGATTCCCATCATCCTCCATCAGGTGTTTCAGTGATCACTGCACTATCGCATTCGTCCTATGATTTATTGTGCGCTCTTATGGCTCACTCTGTTATACCGAGTGATACTTTTCCAGCGCATTCGATGTTACTCATACCAGCTGTCTCAACGGTTAGTGGGTTAGGTAAACGGGTCACTATAATCCATCACTCTTTGAAGTAATGTGAGGTTGCTCTTCCTCTCATCTACCTGAGATAACGGCTTGTGGGTCATGAGCTCGGCTTGCTCGGCGTAAGGTACGAGCCGTACTTGATGACCGAAGCGTGTAACCATACAGCTTTTAGCTTGTAAGATACGAACTCCCTATGATTCATTCACTGCTGACCTCACTCCATCTCCCCTCACTGTCAAAAATTTGCACCGTTTATCCTACATATCATTATATTGCGTGTGGTCGGCCTCCGACAAACGTACGTAGGGTTCTGCGGTTACTCCCATAGGATAGACCTGATCCAAACTACCTTGTGACTTTAAAGTATTAAGTCATAACCTTACGCTAGCTCCGCCATGCAAATCCTCACTTACCACACCGTCCTATTCGCTAGACGACCGAGTCAGTAAGCTGTAAGTGGGGACACTCCAGCAAAGCCCTCTCGCGACATGAACTGCTGGATAGGACCATTCGCCCGCAAGACACCTTCAGTAGTATTCTCTCCTCTGGTTCTATTCTATTGTCTATTACCTAGTAAGTTTGCCAACAAGTGGCTGCCTCTGACCTTGCAACCTAAACTATCTCTGTACTGCAGTCGTCTTTCAGACTGGGGCTTCGTTTCACGTCGGGCCTTTCAACGGTTGCACTTTACTTTAGACCGGCCGAGCTGCAATTCCTGTCTGTTCTCACTCTGTTGAATTCGAGATGTGCTGTGTCTGTGAAATGCATTCTAGCCAACTTTTGATAAATTAGTGTACGTTTCAGTGCTGTTGGCATTGTTCTTCATGTCTCTGGTGGCACCATGCGAATGGATGATGGGGCTATTTGTGAGGTCTATGTTGTGCTCATTGGAAGTACTGTGCTCAATCCCGAACAGTCCATAATGCTTAAACACGTGTATGCTGTTCAAATTTCCACCTGCGTCGGAGTTAGTAGGAGGCATCCGAATTCTCGTGGCTTTTCGATTTCTCGGTGCACACTCACACTGATTGCATCTCAGAGATCACCGGAGAGTAGTAGTGGTATATTCATAATCTGATTACAGATAATGTGTCATCAGAACCATGGTGAAATAAAGGGGGGAAACGAAATACAACATGTGAAGAAAACGCTTTTTTGGTTTTACACATGCCGTTTTGGGATTTTTTGTGTGTTTTGGAATTTTATGTTCGATGAAACCTTAACTACTAGATAAAACGGTTGAACAGCACTGTCTCCACTGATGCCGGTGGCGCGTCATACCCACCAACTTTTCTAACCACTGGCAGTCCGAATCGCGTGGTCCCCATACTGAAAGGCGGACTCGTCTGATGGATGCTGGCGTCGGCATTGTTTTGAGTCCCCGGGCTGAAGCTGCCCTCCTTGATTAGATCCCAGTAAACAGTAGGATGTGCGCCGTTAGGTTAGCTGGTTCGTTCCATGCTACGAAGTCGCGCGGGGACAAACGGTGCCTGTTTGTCACTGCGGCCTACGCCTCTACAAACTGTAGCACTGATTCGGTAAAAGATGATTTTCTATCACCAACTTCACGAGCTCCTTCGTTACAGAATAAGCACGGATACTGTGGTGCTGGCTGGCGATCTAAACGCCCAAGTCGGAAAATTGTCCTTTGATGAGCTTCATCTGGGCGGCCAACATGGTGTAGGCTCCCTTAATGATAATGGTGAGCGATTGCTACAGCTGTGTGAAGATGCTCGCCTCTTTCTCGCGAGCACTAACTTTCGACACACCACTCACAGAAGTGTGACTTGGCGGCCACCAGTCTCGGGCCAGTCATGGACGCAAATCGATCATATCGCGATCAGTTACCGCTGGAGAGCTGTGTCCAAAACTGTCGCTTGATTTGGAGCACGAGCGTGGACTCAGACCACGCACTTGTCTGTGCCGACCTCCTGGTGCGTTTCGGTGGACGTCCGCGACGTCAATGTGAACGGATTGACACCAGCCAGCTGGCGAAGCCAGATGTTCTGAATGTGTACCAAAGTGCACTGACATCTGGGCTGAGTAAGCGCCCACTAAACACCGTTGAAGATCACTGGTCGCATACTCGTCAAGCGTTGCTATTAGCAGGCATGTCTTCATGTGGCAAAGCAAATTGCCAAACCGGACATTGGGTCTCTACACAGTCTCTGGAACTTATGGATGCTCGCCGACGTATTCCGGCTGGAAGCGAATACAATGAAGCTCGCAAAAATCTCAGGGCAAAACTACGTGCTAGCCTGAAGAAGGACCGCGAAACCTGGTGGTCTCATCGTGCCTCTGAGATGGAAACAGCCGCTGCCATTGGTAATCATCGTAAGTTCTACCGTCTGATACGGGAAACAGGCAGCAGGAGACCTGGTGTTAGCGAGACCATACGCGACGAGAGTGGGCAGCCGATCCACAGCCTGTCAAAACGCTTGGAGCGTTGGGCTGAACACTGTTATGCAATTTAACCAACCTGAGTTATCGCTTTCTTCGGGCATTGAGCGCCCTTCTCCTTGGGCCTTCTCCTTGGATCCGCACTCACGCGCAGAAGTCGAACGTGAGATCAGGCTGTTGAAATTGCATAAGGCCACTGGGGCAGATAGAATTCCCCCATCCCTCTTCAAATTCGGGGAACCTGCTCTAGTAGGTGATCTACACGAGTTGCTAGTAAAACTTTGGGAGCAGGAAACAGTCCCGCCAAACTGGAACCGCTCCGTGATAGTCACAATTTTCAAGGGAGGCTCCCGTTCGGAAGGCGGCAATCATAGAGGGATCAGTCTGCTCTCAATTGCCTCTAAATTGCTTGCGTCTGTCATTTTCCACAGACTGACTGCCACTCGTGAAAGCCAGATACGTGAAGAGCAATCCCGATTTCGTCGAGGTCGGAGCTGCATCGACCACATCTTCACATTGCGTCAAGTGTTGGAGCACCGCCATGTTTATTGGCGACTCACCGTTGTCGTGTTTCTTGACATAAAAGGTGCCTTCGACCCAGTCGATCGATGTGCCTTTTGGGACTGTTTGCTGAGGAAAGGTGTGCCTGATAAATATGTAAACATTATCATAGCATAGTTTGGGCAGAGTGATGGTTTATGGCAGACTGTCGCCACCCTTCAGTATCACCAGCGGTGTGAGACAAGGATGCTCGCTGTCACCTTTCCTCTTCAACTTCGCTATTGTTGAAGTCATGGAAGCAACTTTCGCTGGACACGACCTAGAAGGTGTGGAGCTACTCCCTGGTGAACGACTTCTTAACGTGGAGTACGCGGACGATATTGTCCTAATCTGTGACAGCTCTCAAACATGCCAAGCAGCACTGGACCGCTTAGCACTGGCTGTCAATCGTTTTGGGCTATGCTTTGCTCCATCGAAATGCAAAGTACTTCTCCAAGATTGGCAGGGACCCACACCTGTGCTAACGCTTGGTGGTGATCTGCTTGAAGTCGTTCAGGAATTTAAGTACCTGGGCAGCTATATTAGCACCCGTGGGATCGGAGATGAGTTTACCAACCGTATAGCAAAAGCTCGGGGTGCTTTTGCCAATCTCCGCCACCTGTGGCGCAGACGCGACATTACTCTCGCTATCAAGGGCAGAGTTTACAACGCAGCCGTCCGTTCAACTCTCCTAATATGGCTATGAAACCTGGCCCACAAGGTCGACAGACATAAAGAGGCTCGTCACATTCGATCATCGCTGCCTTCGCAGCTTAGCTCATGTCTGGTGGGAGCACCGCGTGTGCAATGAGCGTGTTCGGCGTCGTGTATTTGGTGCAGGAAGAGCGAGTGAACCGCTCAGCACCATTATATCACGCACCAGGCTTCGATGGCTGGGCCACGTGTTGCGCATGCCAGCACACCGACTCCCGGGACGTACATTGTTTGCGCGTTGTGGGTGCGGTTGGAAGAGGAAGAGGGGAGACCAAGTGATGACCTGGTCGAGAGAAATGAAAACCCTCACTTCGAATTTGGCGTCAGTTGTTGCATCCCGACTGCCTGGCTGGGGTCCTAAGGACGGTGAACACGTTTGGTTGGACACACTTGCTGATATGGCTAGGAGCCGGCGCCAATGGCGTTTGTGTTGTGATTTCCTTTGTCCACCCTCCTCCTGTTTAGCATCCCCCTCCAATCATGATCTCAATCGTTAGGCATAATATGACTTTCTTTTACGGCAGGCAGGTGTTAGCTCTCCGGAACGATGTCCA